CCGGCTCGCCTTTCAGCACACTGGGACAGCTCCTGTGCATTCAAGACTTGCTTTTTGAAGCATGTCCATCCCTCCTGGACCCCTTAATTTTCAAGGGCTGTTTCCCAAGGTACCCTCTGAAACAGTCTTCTGAGTAGGCCAAAATCTGCCCTCTGGAAGTCCAGGGTAGAAGTTTTATTGATGGCCCTCTTTGCATCCCTGAGTATTGAAAACTCTATTATTTCATGGTCACTGTGCCCCAGACATCCACCAACCACCACATCTCCCACCAGCCCCTCTCTGTGAACAGCAGGTCTAGTAGGGCCCCACCCCAGTAGGCTCATTTACCAGCTGGAACAGGAAATTATTCTCTAAACACTCCAGTAATCTCCTAAACTGCCTCTCCTCTGTTGTGTTGAGTTTCCAGCAGACATTCAGCAGGTTAAAGTCACCTACAGGAAAAAGGGCTGGTGATTTTGAGACATCCGCCAGTTGCTTGTAGAATAATTCATCATTCTAGTTGGGTGGTTTGTAACAGACTCTCACTGGGATGTCAGGCTTGTTGGCCTTCCCCCTGATTCTGACCCACAGGCACTCAACCTTATCGCTACTGACTTCAAGTTCTACACAGTGAAGAGACTCTCTAACATACAGAGCCACCTCTCCACCTCTCCTACCTTTCTGAAGAGTTGTTAGCCACCCATGGCAGCACTCCAGTCATGGGAATCATCCCACCACGTTTCTGTGATGGTGTTCTTGCAAAAGGGAGTATCATTTTCTTAATAATTGCCTCTTGAGAGTGAATAATTGATAATTTTCTTTGGAGCATTATCTTCAGGGCCATTATTTTCTGTCATTTAGTCACCATTTCAGGATCACTGGGCATCACTACTAATTGCATTCCCTTTATCACACGCGTTAAGTTACGTAAAACAAGGGATTATACAAGGCAAGAAATCAAGGTAGCTAGTTCACAGAGAACAAGAAATAATATTTTCTTTATTCTCCATCTGACAAGAAGCCATAAAAACACATCAATGTCCCACTCTTTCCAGGTTGAACTGGGTCATGGGCTAACTTCCAAATTTCTTTTGTTATCTGTTTTACTACTTTTCTATTGGCATCAATTTACACACAACAATTCGAATAATTTGATTTTCCACATACCCCTCCTTCCTCTGCTAATAAATAATCTAAAACTATTTGATGTTGCAAGCTGGCAGTTCTCATCTGGGTTACTTGATCTGCTAACAGATCTAAGGTGGTAGCTGTTTGATTAGTAATAACTTCTAAACCAGCTTGAAGTCTAATTATATGATTCAAATTATAAATAGGCTCTCTTGCTGCATATATTATTTCCTTAGGATTCCAAGTAACTTGTCCATAACACTGTATAATTCTCTCGGGGGGCCACTCATCCTTTCCCCATTTTTGAGAACTTCCCCCAACCAAAGAGACATCAGTTGATCATTTTTCTCTAATCAGATCATCATATATTTTGATTCCTAATCTGTCTCCTTGAACTTGTGGTAACAAAAAGAACAATGGTCTAATATGTCCTACATAATTGTCATGGTTTGAGAGCTCCAAAAATCCAATTCTCTAATCCAAGCCCCCTCCCACATCTCAACCCAGTGTGAGATGAGTTTTTCCAGACACTACACGAGACTCAAAATGGGGAAAAGGGAATATATTACAATGACTGTACAAATAAATACTACAATACATTATATACAATCTTAGCTATCTCTTCCATGACACAAAAGTATTTATAATGGATCAAATCTCTTCTCCCCTCCAAATAAAAGTCCAGGAGGGAAGAAGGAAAAGATCCCTTTCCACTCTCAGAGCAGCAGTGCCTCTAAGGCAGCAGGCATCTCTGTCTCTCTCTTCCATGCAGCAGCTGTAGCTGGATCTCTGCCAGTACACGTGAGGGGGTATCCAAGCTCTCATGGCCCTTCGTCTCCAAGCGAGGGTCTTCTCTTCCATGGGCTGAGTTTCCCAGGACAAGGACGCTATCACCACGGTCATACCACGAAGCTCAGGGGTCTTCGTGGCGGTCTGTATCTTCAGGGAATTCAAATTCCCTTTGCAGAGCTCTGTGCTGTCTCAAGCACAGGGGGGGCCAAGGTCACCCTCTCCGCATTCTTTCTTTGAGCTTTTCAGTTCCTTTTTGTAGTGCTGTAGCACTCCAAGACTAAAAGTCCATCATCCCCTCCTTTCTAGGAGGGGTCTCCATGGAGTTTTGGGGTCTTTGGTTCAGTTCTTACCCCAAAAACTCTGTCTGTAGAGCTTAGGTCTGCTCTCTCTGCTGCTGGCTCTCTTTCTCGGCTCTCTCAGACAACTCTGTGTCTTCCTTGGCTGCATGCTGTTTGCTGCTTGGTCTTATCTCTTCTGGCTCTCTGCCACCGTTTCTTTGGTCAGTGCAGTTCTGCCACCACTTTTCAGTATCTCTTGCTGCAGCTCACAGTGGAGAAACATCCCCCGGCTTATAGCTACAGATACATAGTCCATCTTAACACTGTTCCAAGTCCCTGAAGCCTCAGCCAGGGGCTGGGGGGGCCAGAGCCCCCCAGGGGGCTCCTGCCCTCACTCCTCGTGGCTTTACAACATGGCTATTCCTTCAACAACAACTACAACTACCTTCTCTTCCGTTCTGTTTGGGATATGTTTATATTTTGCAGAAGCATTCATTGGGTAAAACTTCAATGGTCACCACCCCCTGGGGTTTTACCATTTTATAACTTTAGGGGGAAAACTGTTTCCCCCCACCACAATAATGTATCCGTGACCAATCTGGGGGCAATCTTAGGTATGCATGTTGTCCACAAATCCAATAATGGCCTTTAAGCAGCCAGGTTCTATTGGGAAAGGGACTGTCTCAAGTTTCATTGTCTTTTGGGACATGAAAATTCTCTTTCTCTAACGGTTCCCGTACCACGTTTATTATCTCATGACTTACTCATCTTCTTGTCCTTTTATTTGACTCTGTGAGGGCTCCTGACCACTCTACATAGAGCTTTCTGCCAAGATAAGCTTCACATAATTCCTCACAGAATCGCACTGTTAATGTGAAATTTACTTTTCTTACCCAAATAACTCTACTCCTAACCTGGGCTTTCTTCTTTGAAATTCCTAGGCAAACATTCTTTGTATGAGGAAGATATCACAGAAATACATAACAATTGAGGTTGGAAGGGACCTCTGGGGGTCATCTGGTCTCCCCTGCTCAGGCAGGACTATCTGGAGCTGTTTTTCGAGGACCATGTCCAGGTGGTTTTTGAATATCTCCAGGGACAGTGGTTCCACCTCTGGAGATATTCAAAGGCTCTCTGAACACAATCAAATATGGACACAATTAAGCCTGAAGGAGAATATAGATAGTACTGTTAAAAGGTATTGTTCCAAAGAGTTCAGCTTAGAATCCTCCTCCATTTTTCTGGTATCTCTGATTCCCTCACTGGACAATTTGGCTTTTTCTGATTTCAGGATAATTCCAAATGCAAAGGTACTGGTTTTAACAGAGAGCATTTCACTGTGGAGCACAATTTCTCTACAAAAGTTTTCCTTAGGAGAGGTGCAGACTCTGTCCTCTTCTGTGGAATTAGCCACACTAACACAATCTTACTATTGGACTGTACAAAAGCTCCCTATTATGTGGTTTCTTCTGGAAACAATTCTATTCTCCTGTTTTCTTAAGATCTATGTCCTGTAATTCAACTATGTATGCAAACGTAAAGTGAAAAGCCACTGCTCAGTGGGAGGCAATCAGGAAGCCTCTCATGAAATGAATGGCTCAGGTCAATTAAACACTCACTGTCAAAGGTGTAAGCAAAAGCAGGTTTAATAGAAATTTGCAAAAGCTCAGCAAAGTCCAACAGCAATGGTCACTCTGTTTATTAAACATTCACAGGAACATCGAATTAGAATTAATTTAGAATGATTTCTGCAGAGACTGAGGGGGGCAAAAAAAAGGTAGAGTTGTTAGAGAGAGACCATCCCACTGAGTCACAAGGTACAGAAAGGACCCTCTTGTTTTCTCAACTACCTCTCAGGGGAGGTGTGGATTGAGCCATTCCTAGCCCCAGACTTGATCAACAGTTTATGCAAAGGATTATAAAAGCACTCAATCATTGACCTTTCCCTCCTGTCCACCTGATTACACCATTTTTCTCTAAGGGAGTGTTCTTAAAAGTTAAATCTGCCTGAGAGATTGGGAAAAGGTGTGGAGTGTAAGATGAAAACATTCAGAGTGTCATCAGAAAATCAGGATAAAAATGCTAGGGAACAACTCCCCCTGATTTACATTATGGTGGTAGGATGCACTAAACAAGCATTTTACTGGATTTGGATTTGCCAGGCAAATTTCACTTCTCTTGTACATAGGGTGAGGGTCTTCCTCCAGGGGTCTGCAGGGTCTGAGGGACAACCTGACAAAGCTTAATGAAGCAGACCTTGCAATGTTCTCTGCAGAGCCTGTCTTGAAGCCATCAGTAACTCAGCCAGTATGAGAAAAGCCTTATTTCTCCTCCAGGATGTGGTGAACTTGTTTTTCCAAACAAGGGGAGGGTTAATCTTGCACGGTGCAACTGAGTCAGAAATGTTTGCCACAGCATCCTGCCCGTTGCTTGTGAGAAAAAGGTGAGCTGGGGCATGTGTGTGGTGGGGTCTATTAGTTCATAACCAAGTAGCTGTGGAAACTATCACCCCATCAAACCTCCACATATTATTTCCTGTTGGCCTCTTCCTCATATCACTGAGTGGAAAAAACCAGCATGTTTTCTTCTCTTCTGCTCTGTGTGTTTCCCTCCCTCATGCTTTCAGCAAACTATCTCTTGATTGAAGCTTCTGAATGTCCCAAGAGATACTTCCCTGCACAAAGTCTAGAAAACACAAATCCAGCCAACAGGAAATCTGGTTTATCAAAGCTGTATTTCTAATCTCAGTGGTCATTAGGACAGTTGGGTTTCAGCAATGTCCATCCCAAATTCATAAGAAAAAGCACAGAACAAACCACAGCATTTTGGTCAAGGAAAATTTTATTTTTGTCACTACTACAGGAAACTAAAATGCATGTGGGATACATTTTGCAGAAGAAATACAGGTTTAAGAAAGAAATGCTTCTACGGTTGAACATTATCTGTTTGAATTGGATCACTTCTCAGCCATGATAGGAAATTATTGTTAATAAAGCTGCCTAAAAACCAAAGCTATAAATGGCAACTATTGTGCCTGAATTGTCTCTGCAGTAACACACCAGTTCTACAGACAGTAACACAACATGTCTGTGAAAGCTGATTTAAAACATTATATAGCTCTCTATATATCTATATGTATCAATAGTGAGGATTGGGTTTTTCTACAACTGTTGATGCAGGTTGGACATTCCTGTGTAAATGCCAGAACAGTGGGGAGATCTACTCAGCAGGAGGATGAGGAGAAATGCACTCTCCTCAGTGCACAGAGAAAAAGAAATAGCAAAAGCAGTTACGACTCTTAAATCTAAATGAACTGGCTGGGCAGGATTGAACAGCATCAAACGTCTAAAGGGGAAGGGGCTGTGTTGTGTTCTGGGTGCTCACTGTCAGCAGATGTGACACTGCTTGTCCAGCCCGTCGTGCTGCTGGTTCACGTTCTTTCCTGCAGTTCTTCAGGTCCACGTGTCTGGAAGAGCAAAGGGTGTTTTAAACTACATTTAATGCAACTGGAGCAATAAACCACTGTTTGAGAGCTGTCCGATCGAGACAGGTGCACTACAAACTTAGGCTGGACTATCTTTTGTGCCTCTTTGGACACTTTAATTTGAAAATCCTCCCTGCCTCCCCTCTCTTTACTCCCACAGGTTTGTGTTTTGGGATCCTTGCTTCTGAATCCTTATTTGTTTGGAGTTTTCTCCAGGCTTTGTGCTCTGACACTTGAAGTAGTGAAGGAGGTACCTCTTAGGCTCTTCAGGCAATACCTGAGTTGCTCAGGCAAAGAAAATTTGGGAACCAGCCACCAAGAACTGAGCTCTAGATATAGAAAAGTGGTGTTTCCTTTGTCACATGGGAGGCAGGGTGGGCTTCTCTTAACTGTTTTATTTTGGGGGGGGGAGAGGGGGGGGGCTGGTGTGGGTGCTTTTTGTGGGTTTTGCTCATCGTTGTTGTTTTTTTCCCCAGAAACCTGCAAGAGCTATTTAATGGAATCAGGAGCAGATGAATAGGTGTCGTTACCTGTGGGGTTAGAGAAGTACACCCAGACAGGCAGTCACTCCTGCCACATGCTTCCAGTATCTCTACGAATCAAGCTGAGTGCTTCCTTACCTCAGAAAAGAACCAACTTGATACTCATGAGTGTATTGAAGGCGATGCTTTTTGCCAGCAGGACTCTCAAACCCAGCACAGCCACAGACAGCATGTTCACTCTCTGCACTGTGGTACCTGCTCAGGGACAGCAAAAAGAGGAGAGAGACCATGGCCTAAGTTTGGATGTTGGGATCTTAGCAGAAAGTGGAAAAAGCCATAGGTAACAGCTTCAGGGAAAGGAACAGCAGCAGAGGAAGAGATGCCAGAGAACATGGCAACATCAGGGGAGGAGGGTGTCTGTCTCCATTGCTTTTTGCTTCCTGTTGCTTGTGCGTTCCTACAGCAGCAACCTTGAAAAAGCAGCTTGTGTTTGATAAATATGTTGTATTCTGACTCCTCTCCCCTTGAGAAATTACCTTTCTATGCATTTATCCCCCAACCAGCAATGTAACTTCACAATCTGTTTCGGTCACTAACCTTGGGCAGAGGTGTCTGTGCTGTTGCAAACCCTGTTACTGGTCCTCGTTACTGGTTCTTCAGCCTCCTTTTCTGTAGAATGATAAAGAAAAGGCATTTTAACCCATATCCAATTTTTAGAAAGTATTAAAAAACTATTCCTATGGCCCTTTCCATAGGGACATGTGGGAAGTAGAGTCTGGGGCTCAGATGATCAGTCACTAATTCCAACATAAATCTGAGGAGACAATTTCTCCCTGCAGTTGCAGGAAACAAAAGAATTTCTGGGTTGTTTCGGTTTTCCTATTTGAGTGACCTTCAAGATGATAAAAACAATCGCAAAAAATATAAAAAGTGATTTAGTAAAAACCAAAACCAAATCACACCACCAGTTTAACTTTTTGTTGGCTTTAGAAAGGCTGTTTCAGGTTGTGCTCCAGGAGGTTTGCTGCTGCAAATAAAATAAACTCCCATTTTAAAAAAATGGATTGTGCCTTCTCTCCTCCCCCATCAAAAGAAAAGTTTCTCCAATTTATTAAACAGTTGAGACCATTTCTTTTAGATGCTTTTAAACATCTTTCAGCTCTCCCTGCTTAAGTACCAACTGTCTCGTTTCTGCTGCCCACCCTGGGCAGCGCAGACTATCAGGGAAGAGCAGCACCACAAGACACTGTCTCCACAAATACGTTCCAGCTGTGCCCCCACGTTGTACCTGACAATGCTGTAATGGTACCAATGTCCAAATGGGCCTTACAGGTCACCTCTGTGTCTTTTGTCACACTGACCACCTTCATAGCACTGTACAGCCCCTCTGACGCCAGAATGGGTGTGCTCTGTTCATACACGACCTCATCAGAGGACATCTCCAAGCTGATGTTCTTTGTACTGAAATTCCTTGCCAAACAAGCTGCTTTCCCAGTGCTGCCTCCTTCTTCCAGTTTCTTTGATTTCATCACAACGACTTGTGGGACAGAATGTTTTGGACTGCCTGTAAAAAAAGCATGGTTTGGGCATGATGGATTTTACTGCAAGCCTGCCTGAGAGCTAAGTCATGAAAATTAATAGACACACCACCTGGGACTGATTTGTAGCATTATCAATGACCAACTGCCTTTTTTTTTTTTTTTTGCCATTACTTCTTGCTGTTGCTTCCGAAAGATCAAATTAGAGACAGAAAGGGTGTGTGAGAGCAGGTATTTTATAGGAGATTTAATTCCACAGGATCTCAGCTTCCTTTTGCCAAAGCTGGTGCCTGTGAATTCTTCATTTTATAACTTAAGGACCTGCAAAGGAGAAGGGAACTTTTGTGCATGTCACTCCAAGAGTCCAATTATTCTGCTTTCTCAGCAATTTAATTCCAAACAATGTCAACTCTATGAGGACTGCCTTGCATATTCATGAGACATGAGGGAATAACTGTTTTTCCCTTTACTCTCCCTCCCCTCCCCAAATCTCCTGTTGTGGTTGAAAGGTCCAGCCACAGCAGGAGTGGCAGGGAGAGCAGAGGTCAGTTTGTTGCCTCACTGCTGTGCAAGGTTCCCCCTCTGGGTGACGTTACTTGCAGAAATGAAGTCCTGCTGCTGCAGGGGGGGACAAGGCTGAGCTTTTGCATAAAAAATATTCAGGTGCAAGAAGGACTTCTGTCTGTAAGATGGGAAAGTAGGAGAGAAGCAATCGAAAGTCTGTGAATTGTATATCTCCACACAGAATCACAGAATCACAGAATCACAGAATGGGTTGGGTTGGAAGGGACCCTAAAGGCCATCTGGTTCCAGCCCCTGCCATGGGCAGCGATGTCACTCACTAGTTCTGCTCCTGAAGTTCCTGACAAGGCCAAGAACTTTCATTGTGGGGGAGGTTTTCCCCCCTAGACATTGCACAAGGTGTAAGACATTCCAACCAGTCTGCAGGCGATGAGGAGAGAACAGGATTGGTCCTTGGTTCAACAACTCTTGTGCCTGTTCCAGAAAGTGTGACCATTCTCACCCCTGTGCTGTGCCGTGTCGTCAGACCCACGGCTCTGGAGCAGTGGGAAGTGTAATGCAGAGTTTGTTTAATAAACTGATTGGAGGGAAAGAATATCCTGGGACCTACAAACATGATGCTCATGGACAAATCTTACAATATTCCTTTGAGTAGTGTAATAGCCTTCAGTGGTGGTCCTTTAGCACTAAGATACCAACAAACATTGAGACATGAAAATGAGAGTTCAGACAGAATCTAAAAGATGCTGACAACTTTTCACAGGATTTGAGATGCTTGCTCTGATCTGTCAGAAATTTGGTTACTCTGAAAATGTTAGATGTATTTTTTCAGTTTTGAAAGAATTTTAGAGTTGAATTCCCCTGGAAATACATGAATGACAAGGGATTGACAACTAAAACAGACTGAATTTCAATGGTATAGCAGAAGCCTTCTCTGGGAATTTCTTAGAAGACATACAAGTAATGAAATAATATTGCTTTACTTCCAGGAGCTGTCTTTTATGGTAACAGTTAGTCTCAAAAGAATTTTGTAACCAAAAAATCATTGTGATACCATGGGGCTTTTTTTACACAAAATATCTTTTCCTTCAGGTCAGGCCATATTTGGAGACTCCAGGATGACTTCACAAACCAATGTCAGGACTTTATTCAGATTAGTAATTTGAATTATAGTAAAAACATGTAACTGAAAGGAATCCTCTATCACCCTTCCTTGCCAGAAAGGCTTAGCTTATGAAAGGCTGTCAGACATACTAAAAGAGATTCACATGTTTAATTTGACAGGAGCATCCTGGTGGGTCTCTTTGCTAAAGAGAGGACCATCAGGGGGTTAATTTTGCATGGTGTCTGCCTTGCAGTCTGGTCAAGGGATCTCTCATATAAAACATCTTGTGCATCAGAGGACACTTCACTAAAGTTTGATCAAGGAGCTCTGATTTTACACTCTTTCCCCATCACCCTAAAGTGATAAGGAACTGAGGTGAAAGCCAAATCATGCTCTGCCACAACTTCAGGGGTCAGCTCTGCTGATAAATCAGTCAAAACTACAATCTTGTCCACACCTACAGCAACCAGACACTCCACAGAAATCAGACATTCATTGGCAGGAAAAAAAGGCAAAATTCAAACAATAACAACTCAGAAAAGGATAATGCATAAAGGACACCTACTTGGCTCCACGGTCAGTTGAGTTCCTTTCCCAAAGACAAGAGCAGCAGTTACACACAGTTAAAACACATACATCAAAAAAGGCTTGTTTTTCTATTCTTCCTACACACATTTCCTTCCCAGGTGTTGTAACATGGTTTGCCAGAGCATTGTGCATTCTGCATTATCTGAGAAGATCTTTAAAGGCTTTTCATGTTTTCTCCTCTCCAGTATTTCCAAACACCCACTACAGTAACAAGCTGCTTCTCTGCAATAACTCACTGGGCAAGATCTTCAGCAAGAAACAATGTACACATTGCAATTGAAGTTAATAAAGCAGAATAATTTTTTATCAGACCCCAGAAGCCTCAACTGAGTCCCACCATTTTGCATTACCTGAAAATACAGCCATGAATTCCTACATCTGCTTGTGTTTGGGAGATATTTCTGTATTGCATTCTGGGATTTTATTAGGACAGAAAGTTGTACTTCTCTTTCATTTTAATCTAACGAGGTCACAGGAAGAGTCATATATTCTGCAGAGTCATGGGCCTTAGTATTCTTAAAGGAAGTTTTGTCTGGAATAAACCAACCCACACCAAAACAAAAACCTTGTCTATCCTCAAGAGAACACAACTGAGGTATTCTATAGTAACACTAATGGTTGTTATTTGATGTCATTTTGATTTGGAGCGATTCTCAAAAGATTTGGATAATAAAGTATATCTACTCTAAACATCTTAAAATGCATATTAGTAGCTCCCAAAGAAAATCAAAACCAAAAGAGTGAGGTTGTTCACATTCTGGAAATTTAGGCTTCAACTTATTAAGTATTTCAATGGACACTGAGAGACTTAGATACTTAGGGCCCAATATCTTTTACTGTCACACATAATCTGAAAGTCTTCATGCAGCTTTGAAAATATCTCATCTTTAGCTACAAAAAGAAAATCATTAACAGCACAGAAAGAATAGGTTTTTCTTCAAAAGGATAACTTGGCATTCCTTTGCCCCTTTGGAAGTGGACTGAGATTGTTCCAAAACAGACATTTATTCCCATGCAACATCTCCTACAGGCATGGGCAGATATTAGGCAGCACCTCAGGCAGTCCCAAGCCCTTCTGAAATGAGTGCAGGGTGTTTTAGGAATGTAAAATGACATGGGACATTTTTGCAGCACTATAAAGACATGCAGATCTCTGAAAGCACAGCAACAAGTCTGTGTTATCTTCAGGATAACACAGAACAACCTGACAATCTCCTCTGACACCCCAACACTCACATTCCCATAGGGTGGGACATCCACCTTTTTTGTACATCAGGAAAGTCCAAATAAAGACAGGAATAACAACTGTGGCTTGTTATCATCCCTACTCCCCACACCTGTGTTTTTAAAGCCCAGACAACTTGGGAGCCAGTTGTCTTTCATTCTAGGAGGTCTTGGATATGGGGCACCTGTGAAAACTAAGGCCAGGGATATTTATCCTCCTTCCTCCTCTGTCTCCAGTGGAATTGCTTCCCTGGGGACACTGTGAGTGTGGTGCCAGTGTCAAAACTTCTCCAACCAGACAGTTAAAGATCTGTCTCAAAACTTCTCCCCACTGTGAGCTCTCCACTGAGCTGTGCATTCCTGCCCAAAGGGAGTCAGTGAAGATCCACTGGAGAAGAGGAGCCATCAGAGTCAGTTTGGGCCAGAGTGGTGTCCAAACTGGGAATAAATTGTAACATGTTCAGTAGTGCACACCTGGTGTTTGGGGATCATGGAATGAAGGTGTTACACAGAGTTAGGCCAGTTGTTCCTGTGAAACCTTCCTAAGCAGCTCCAAGCCGAGGATTTGGCTTGAAAGCCTGGCTGGAGAGAGAGAGTGCACTCAAGGGATTATTGCAGCAGAAAATTCTTGCAGTGAACCCAAACCATTAGATTCCTTTTTCTTTCCCCACTTTAATTTTAACACAAGTTTTAGAAATAGATAAAAAAAGGTACTTATGTGGTACAACTGTGACGGTGGTCCCTGGTCCAAATACAGGCTTATCATCCTCACACTGCTAATACTCATTGCAATAAATCACTCTTTCCACATGATACTCAAAAAGGTTGTAAAAACAGGAGATGAAGAGCCATACATTTGTCCTAATTATCCATGTGTGCAACTCCTTGAGGGTATCCAGAGGCATATTTTCTTCCAAAACTGGAAAGAGAAAAACAATAATGGAATAGTTAATGACTTCAAATAGCTTGATTGAGTACAGGACTTCCAAGTTCACCCTTTCTTCCCTATTTTAGAGACTTCATGAGCTCTATCTTTCCAGGATAAACAGAAATATAAAAAGATTATTCTATTTGTCTCTTTAATCATTACAGTCACCCATCTCCTTTCCTTCCCAAAATATATTGCCTTTTTACCTTCTTTGGGTTTTTGTACAGGGCCCTGTGCTGTTTATATCATTGTGGTACTCCAGCCCCTGTACACAGTGATGTATTTCATTGCAAAAACTGCCTCTCTTCCACTACACAGAATTTTGGATTATACAGGGAGTCACGTGACTTCTCAAGTGGTTCAAGACCCAACATACCACATGAAGAAACACAATATGGCTTTGAAGGAACGGTCTGAGAAAATTTCAGCAAGGTTGAATTAAAAATGAAAACTTGGGGATTACATGACACCTCTGAAAACTCTGATGAAGTTAAGCTGGATAGAAAGCAGGAAAAAAATCAGTACACATAGTGTTATTTCAAAGCATTTCAGAAAATTCTTCTGACTTGCAGGAAGTTGTCTATATTTTCACCAGTAATTTGGTGTCATGCTCAGAAGCATGAGAAATGTGCCTCTCTTGGCTCTTAGAATTGGTGTCTGGGGGTCACTTAGTACCTTTGAAAGTATTTAGGCTGCTTTGGGTAAGATGAGAAAGTAGGCTAAATGATGGTTCTTTGTTATGTAGAGGCACTGTGGCCATGGGAGTGACTATCAGAGGTTAAAGGAGCTGTTGCAGAATTATCAAATCTTTCATGATGATCAACTTGTGCAGCATTAACACAATCTGGATCTTGATGGCAAAAGACAGACTCCACCTCTGAGTCTCTGCAGCTTCAAGAGCTCACTTCTCCCTTTTCTAACAAAGGAGGGGCAGGTTGAGTCTGTGCCCATTAGGATGGGAAATGGAGGTTGCCATGGTGACAAAGGCTGGGGAGCTCCTGGCACCAAGGTGAAGGCTCTTGTTTCACATGAAGATTTGCAACCACAGAGTAGACTCTGTGCTGTCCTGGCAAAGGAGGAGCTGGGAGCTCTGCCAAACAAGGTGTCTGAGCCCATTGCCCACGAGCCACACGGGAGCACCAGAAAAAGTGGTGAGTGACAGCAATGGAAGGCTCCGTGCTGCTGGACCAATCATCTCCTTGCCATGGACTCAAACTGGGGTCACTTTTAATGGACCTGCCCAACTTATTGCACCTGCAGTCCATTACCCCTCCTTCTCTTCCTTGGGGGTATTAATGACAGTGCCATGGCAGTCCTGGGAAGTAGCAGGCAGGCTCTGGGAGTGTTGGGAGGAATGGGGTAAGAGCAGAAGAGAGGTGAGGAGGATTGTAAATCACTCATGTGACCTTGCAGTGGGGAATAACCCTTGATAACCCAGAGTGAACTGCAGCCCATGACCCTCCAGCACAGACCGAGTTCAGAAGCCACTGTCTCTGTTTGTGCCTCTGCCTGGGTGTTGCTTTGAGATTCCCAGGGTTATCAAGGTAATGGAAACAAATTTACTCTTTGTGTTCTAGTCCTGAGTTTGTGTCTGTTCCAGCTGCCTGTCTGTGCTGACTCACATGGGGTGATGGCCAAGGGCGTGTGGGCCCACATGGGATTCTCCTTGATCCTGCTGGTGAGGGGGGAGGTGGAGAGAAGGAAGAGTGGATGAATCCTGGTGGTCAACAGTTGGTTACACAGCTGGCACTGACAAATGGACTTGGTTTCTATGACCATGGGATCCTTTTGGAGGACTGAGGGCTCTTTGGAAGTGATGAGACCCACCTGATTCAATTAGGTAAAAACTTCTTTGCCAACAGACTGGCCAACCTGATAAAAGCTTTAAACTGGGAACAACAGAGGAGGAAACAGAAAATAAATAAGTGAGGAATGGGATGAACAGGACAGGCTTCATTATAAAAAGAGAAAAAAGGGATGAAAGGGTTGCACTTCCAGAGTGTGCACTAAATAAGGAAGTATTTATGGGTGTATTAGGGAGGGTTTGGATCATACTGAATCTTGAAACCACAACACCATTGAAAGTTCAACAAAAACCAATATTTATTACCAAGAGGTGGCCAACAAAATGAACAAATCCAAAAGGGAGGAAGGAGGAAAGAAATAAGGCCCCAGCACGATCTCCCCAGTTACCCAGCTGTTACCCATAAAATTATCTTACTGACCTAGCATGCCTATAATTACCCATAGCAGAAGCTGCATCCTTGGAGAGTCAGTAAGTTCACAAACTGGCAGGCGTCCCTGCCAAAGGCAACGTTGTCCTTGATGTGAAGCTAGCTCCCTTCAAGAAAGCGCTATCTGCTTTTATACAATTAACTGAGTGACCTCAGCCTAGGCAGGAGTGGTCATCACTGCCCAGCCAGAGGCCCTCAGTCCCACCCCCTGGTTATGTAAGTGCATCTCTTCTGCGCACGCGTGGCTTTCCCTGCGCCTGCGTACTGCACGCGGAGGGTCTTTCTTAATTGAGTCGGTGGGTTTACTTCATCCTCCTCCTCCTCAATCTCTCCTTCAAGTGACCTTGGAGAACGATTAGTCAATCACAGAACACCAATTAAAACAGTTTATACAAGAAGCTCTCTCTCCAAGGACGAGGTGCCTGTTTATCAGTACTTGTTTTCTTATAACTTGGCAGGGAAAGAACAAAACCTTTACAGTTGTCTGGGCTAAACACAGACCAAAAGTATCAGCATAAATTCACCCTGATACAATGGGGAAAAAGAAATCCCTCTAGGCTTCTGGGAAATTGCCATGGCTGGGTACCTCTGTATAGGAACACTTGCAGGGTGGGGAACAAACAAGAGAAATTAGAGCTCCAAC